CCTGGGCCTCAGGTGTCTCCATCCGCAAGATAGGCTCCCGGCCACCGTAACCTCCAGTCACACCAACTCCGTGGCTTGGAGCTATAATTAAACTTTCAGAGGGCTAAGGATGTAGCTCAGTAGCAGAGCATTTATCTAGCACTGGGATTTAATCCCCAGCACTGCAGAAAAACAAAAGACAAAAAAGAAATTCAGAATACTCTCATTGTTCTACAAATATGAATAATGATATTGATAATTAACTGTGCTACAAACAACAGAACTGCCATTTCTTGAGTCCTTCCTCCCTACTAGGTGTTAAAATCCTTTGTCATCTCCTTTCGTTCCGGAGTAATCTCATGAGAGGGATTATTTTCTTTCCCCATCACAAATGATCACTCTGGTGCCCAGAATGTGCAACATAAGGCTTTCTTGAAATTTCTAAAATTCAGACCCAATTCCCCAAGCCCCCACACAGAACTCAGCCCCCTCACTCCTCTGACGCTTTCAGGGTGACTCTGGAGGACCCCTCAACTGCCCCACCGCGGAGGGCACCTGGGAGGTCCACGGTGTGACCAGCTTCGTTTCTGGCCTGGGCTGCAACACCCTGAAGAAGCCCACGGTGTTCACTCGCGTCTCGGCCTTCATTGACTGGATTAAGGAGGTGCGGTCGGGGGACCCAGGGAGGGTCGGGCCCCACAAGGGCACACTGTGCCAGGTGCCCCAGAGCACACTGCAGAAGGCAGGTGTTTTCTGCTGGCCACAAGGACCTGCATGGCCCCTCGGCAGAGCCGTGAGCCTTGGTGGCTGCACTTGCACAGTTTCTTAGTGGTTTGCGAAGTGTGTCCTTGGTCCAGCACTGCCGTATCATGCAGACCTGGGGCTGCCCACTGGTGACGGGGCGATAACCACGAAAGAGGGTGACATCCGTGAGAGGGAACGGTCAGGCCCGTGTGAGCACAGCCCTCATCTTCCCACCTGGTGACAGGCAGCCAGGACAACTAGTATTGTTCATGATAAGAGCAATGGCTGTAATTACAGACCACTCCAACCTGCGCCACACTAGTCATGGAGGTGCATGGCTATGGAGTCATGGAGGTGCTATGACCCTAGCATATGGGGTGATGGGGCGAGAGGACCACAGTTTGAGGCCAGTCTGTCCAATTTAGCAAGTCAAAAAAAATTTTTTAAAAAGATGGAGAGCTGGATTGTAGCTAAGCACACAAAGGCCCTAGGTATTCAGTCTCCAGGCTTGCAAAAGAAAAAATACAAAGGTTAAAAAAAAAGGGCTGGCTGTGAGGCATAGCTCAGGGTTGCAGCTGCCCTGGGTACCACAGAACAAAACAAAAGTGGCCCTAGGCTCTGTGGTGAGAGCCTAAGTTAATCGTTTCATCAGGAAACCAATGAGGAAGGCTGGGGGTTTAGCTCAGTGGCACTGTGACTGCCTCACAAATACAAAGTTCTGAGTTTGATCCCTGGTGCCAAAAACAAAACAATACAAAACCCATGAGGAAAATACTGTTCTTTTCCCTACTATAGAGGTAGGGAAACGAAGGCTCAGAGAGGTCAAGTCACCCTCCTAGGCTCACACAGCTAACGAGTGTCAGAGCTGAGAGCTGAGCCCAGTGCCCCCTCGCTCCAGAAGCTGTGTTCCTAACTGGACTATTCTGTCCCCTCAACCCTGCTTTTTTTCAGACCATAGCAAGCCACTAGAGCCATGGCGAGCTGGCAGTGCCAATCCCACATCCTGCGTGAAGAATAAAGGTCACTCAGAAAGCCCGAGCCTCTCTTCATTGCCGAACCCCTTTCCCGCTGATCTCTAGCCCTTTGTCCTGTGTGTGCCAGAGCAGGGTACGGTCTGAAGGCTGTCACTTCTGTCCCTCACACACCCTTCCCTTTGTACCCCTTGGCGTCCTCCTTCCCCCAAGGATGGACCTGGGTAACCTGCCTCAGTGTCCTCAGTGTCCTCCCAGCTCCAGCAGCTCCGACAGGATGGGCAACTTAGCTGTCACTGCCCCCTCCACTCCAGACCTGGCATCTGTGGCCACCTCTCTGGAAAAGTGGCGGAGATCGGGGAGCAAGTTGGGCCTGTATTACCGTCTTAACCTCTCCAAGCCCCAGGGAGTGGTAACTTTGCCAGCTCGTGATTTCTGTAAGATCTTGGATCTGAAGTGCAGAGATGAGACTCCACCCAGCTATCCCAGATGAAGAGGAGGGGGCGATGAGGCATAGAGAAAAGAAGAGTTCCCATGCTGACCAACCTCCTGGTTGCCTGGGACTGAGGAGATCCCAGGACGCAGGAGCTTTGGTGTAAAAACTGAGGAAACCTCAGGAAAACTGGGTGGAGTTGGTCACCATCATAGGCAGCCACTCACAAACCAGTGTAGGCACAAAAATGTGCACAAAAGCTGCCCCTGCTGGCTTCTCTGGAGCAGGAGAAGTGGAGCTGTGGTGGTTTCTTCATTCCATAAATGTTCATTCCTTTTCTGGAAGATAGCTCAGAGACGGAGGAATACGTGGTTCTTGCCCTGAAGTAGTTCATATTTAAACAGAAATGAGCAGCTCAGAGCTGTGCATTAAGCACATGCTAGCAGCCTGCCCTGTGTTGGGTTCTGGGCTGGAGGACAGAGGTGAGTCAGAGGGCAGGGAGAGCCCTGGTCACTGTGGACAGTGCCATACCCCTGGCCTTGGCCCAGCGAGCTGTGGTTGGGGTCTGAAAGATCCCTGCTGAACAGAAAAAAGGCAACATCCAAACACCTGAATTTCTCTCTTCATGTTTCTTGTAATGCCATGAAGAAGACTTAGTCCCAGAATGGACATGCATTAAGGTTTTTCTCCCCCATTTTTTTTTTGGTATTGGGGATCAAACTTGGGACCTTGGGCTTGCAAGGCAGGCGGTGGCGCCACTGAGCTAAATCCCAGGCCTTGCGTAGAGATTTTTAAAAATATTAATGCTCTGTTAATATTCACTCCCTTTGAAAAATTAGGCTCTCAGTGTTTGTTTTTTTTGTGTGTTGCTGTCCCTCAGCCCTACATGATAGGGAGGTGCTCAACCACTGAGCTGTACCCCGAACCCCTACTTTCAATTTTGGAAAATCACTATACAATACACAAAGAGTAGGGTTGCAAACACCTATTTGAGTGTCTTTCATACAGAATTAAATTTCCTATTTTTGTTTCATATTTAAAAAAAACACCTCCAGTTCAGGTGCAGGCCGCTGGGCCCTCTTCTCAGAGGCTTCCCCCTTGGGTACCAGATGTTCACCAATCATTACCACTTTCCTTTGGGGAGCTAACCGGATCGCGCTTGCCCCTCCCCTTAAAGTCTGGCCACATTGCTTGCTCTGGCCAGGATGAAGATCTGTGATTCAGAGTGTCTTCGTTCCTTTCCTCATCACGGAGATACAATATCCAATACCCACAACTTTTTATTTTGGTACTGGGAATTGAACTCGGGTCCTTGTGCTTGCGAGGCAGGCCACTGAACCGCTGAGCTAAATCCCGGCCTAATGCCCACAAGTTAAAGGAGAGGTTCATTTGAGCTCCCAGTTAATAGAGGTGCCAGTCCATAGTCTGCTGGATCCGAAGCAGGGACAGCATGGCAGAGAAGCGCTGTTCACGTCATGGCAGACAGGAATCAGAGTCGAGGGAGGAACCAGTCAAGGGAGATGCACCCCTCCAGGCCATGCCCCCTGTGATCTCCAGAGCAGAAGCCCCTTCTAACCGCAGGTCGGCTGTTAATCCAATCACCTTTCAGAAGCCTCATCTCTGAGCACGTAAGGCTCTGGGGGGACCTCCAGATACAAACGGCAACATGGGGTGACTTGCCAAGCTCTTCTTCCCTCCACCATGGCACCCGTTACCTAATGACCAGACTGCTTCCAGAGTGGAGAAGTCTCTCATCAGTGCCTGATGGGCACACGGCGCAATCGTGAAATAAATTCTATCATCATAAGCCACTAAGCTTTGGGTGTTGTTACAGCAGCATGGACCTACCCTATACTGACTGATAAAATGAACTTGGTGTTTATTCTCCTACTCCATTCCATTGTCTTATTTTCCTCACATGTAAATGTCCGTATATGATATGCTGCATTGTTTTGGTTTTTTAAAATACATGCTCAGGTGCTGAGAATATAGCTCAGTGGTAGACCACTTGCCAGGCTTGTCCGAAGCCCTGGGTTCCATCCCCAGAACTGTAAATAAATTAACTCATTGGGTAACAGAGAGCCGCACGGTGTTATGGATTGACCTGCAATGTGCTTCTTTCATTGAACTTTGGGTTTCTGAGGTGCAGCCATATTCCTTTACCCATCTCCTTTGCATAACATTATCTGCCCCCCTCCACTGATGACATTTAGAGCAGGGCCAATTCTTAATGATTAGAAACAGTGCTTCCACGGACATCTTAGGATGCATCTCCAGGTGCAGATGTGTGAGGATCTCTCTCGGGCATATTCTAAGGAATGGGATGCTGAGTGGGAGGGTGGACTGGCTTTCAACTGCCATTTACCATTTACTGCCAATCATTTACCTAACCATCCTGCAAAACGATTCTACCAACAATGCTCAACGCCCCACCACATTCCCCTTCACCCCCCACGAGCCCCACATTACAAACCGCCCCAACTTTTTCTTATACAACTTCCTGGGATCTCAACCCCGACCAAGCTCTCCTTCCCCCGTCATCCCCAGCTCTTACAAAACCCAACGGGGAGAGGAAGGGCTTGAGTCAAGCATCCTGGGGTTCAGGGAAGGATCAGAGGAGGTCCTGCATCCCCAGGGACATTCGTCACTTTATTGCATCAGAGGACAGTGTCTTGTGTCACTGCGAAGCTGCCTGGGCTGAGTGTCCACCCCCAGCTGAAGGTCAGGGAGTGGCCCCTGGATCCTTCTCCAAAACAGCTTCAGAATAAAGGCAGTGAGATGTGTGCGACCCCATGCTGCGGCTGAACGGTTTCTTCCAACCCTCATCCACCACCCCAGGGAACTCTAATAGCCTCAGGGGAGGATAGGAACGGCTATGATTCCCTTCTCACCACGCAAGGCAGCACAGAGTCAGGAAAACTTACCAACAATTTGATAAATAGTTCCATCTTTCTTTTCTTAAATCAAATCTTCAGTCAATAACTTAATTTTTTGAGTAAGGAGTAAAGTATCAGTGCCAGTTAACTGTTTCTACACTTGATCTTAGCCAAAAGGCTGAGAAGCGATAGCTTTTGGTTTTGAAATCACAAAAAACCAACCATCAACTCTTTGAAAACACACAATATCAGTGCTTTAGTTCTCTTTTAAAAGTTGAGGAGGCCTGGGGATTTAGCTCAGAGGTTCTGGCAGCCTGCCTCACAAGTTCAATCCCTGGTACAAAAAAAAAAAAAAAAAGTTGTCAAGGAGCCTGGAATGGTGGCACATGCCAATAATGTCAGCACTCAGTAGGCTGAGTCAGGAGGAGGATCCCTGAGCGTTTGATGCTAGTCTGGGCTACATAGTGAATTTAGGGCCAGTCTGAACTACACAGAAAGATCCTGTCTCAAAAAAAAGGGAGAAAAGAAAAATAGAGATTCTCAGAGGATGTTATAAAATAAGTATTTTCATACAAGGAGGACGGAAGCCCAAGCCCCAGATTTTAGTTATAGTACTTGTTGGCCATGTTGCATAACTGTTAGCCCTCAGTTTTCCCATCTATAAAAGAGGTACTTTTAATATTGACCTCACGGGCCGGGGATTTGGCTCAGTGGTTCCACTGCCTGCCTCGCAAGTGCAGGGGCCCAAGTTCCATCCCTGATACCAAAAAAAAAAAAAAAAAAATTGACCTCACATGATTATTAGGATTAAATGAATCATGAACATACTCAGTACACACCTGGCACCCCGAAGCCATAACCACAAAAGCAATCCAAAGCCTGCTGATTTGGAAGTAAAACTCTAACCTTCACACCAAAGGGCTGAAGACAGCCAGAGCCAGTGACATCGCTCAAACACACAAGGGGGACACAAAGCCCAGCCTACACCACTCTGGGCAGCGACATGCCTCGGGCCAGGGTGGAGGGCAAACTGTGTCACATACCCAGGTTCCAGGACCCCACAAATGTCCCTTTTGAATTCTCCTCCTACTGACCAGTGCCCTGAACAGTGGCAGTTTCATCATCCAAGGAACACTGGTGGTATCTGCAGACACCTTTGGCTGTCATGTCTGGGGGGACGTTACTAGCAATGAGAGGGTAGAGACTAGGGATGCCGCCGAACATCCTCCTGTGCCCGGGACAAGCCCCAAACAATTGTCTTGTCCATGATGGTAAGAGTGTCACATTGACAAACCCATACTAGCCCCATTGGATTCGTGACGCCTCAGCCACCTGCCAACAAGCCCTGAAACGAACATTTCCTAGGTACCTGCCAGCTCAGTCCTGGACCTCCTCACTGAATCCTAGAGCACTGTAGCAGGGAGAAACTGGTGCAGGCTGGCAACTTCCTGCACACAGGACTTCCTGACCTCTGCAGACAAACAGAAATGTTTTCAGAGAGTTTGGGAAACACTGAATTTGTGCAGACACTGTGACCCCTGTTAGGACTACTAACACCTGTGTCAATATGTTTGCTTTTGTTTTGTGCAGCGTTAGGGATTGAGCCCAGGGCTTCACACTGAGCTACATCTCCAGACTATTTTTAATTTTTATTTATTTTTTTGAGGTAGGGTCTTCCTATATAGTTCAGGCTGGCCTTGAATTTACTATTCAGCCCAGGCTGGCCTCGTGCTCCTGGCCATCCTTCTACCTCAGCCTCCCAAGTGTTGGAGTTACAAGTGTGTGCCACCACACCAAGCTTTTTTAAAAAAAATTTTATTAATTTGGTAACAGGGATCAAACTCGGGCCCTTGTGCTTTTGAGGCAGGTGACAGACCACTGAACCAAATCCCCACCTCTCCAGCTTTATTTTTATTTAATTTGTTTTTGTTTTGTTTTGTTTTGTTGAGACAGGGTCTCACTACATAGTTGAGACTGACCTGGAACTCACTATGTAGGCCAGGCTGGTCTTGAATTCACAGTGATCCTCCTGCCTCAGCCTCCCAAGTGCTGGGATTACAGGCGTGCGCCACCATGCCTGGCCCAGCTTTATTTTTAAATTTGAGATTGGGTCTTGCTGCTAAATTGCTCAGACTAGGCTTGAATTAATGGTCCTCCTGCCTCCGTCTCCCAGAGTGCTGGGATCGCCAGCATTAGCCACAACTCCCAGATACCAATGTTCATTTTAACTACTCAAGAGTACAAAAACCCAACCTAGAGTTAATAAAGGGCCTAATTCACTCATCTGGAAGTTCACTGCCCCAAACACTCACATTCTTGTGCCTTTGTCCTGTGTATCTGTGGTTCTGTGATCTACTAAAGTTTCATTCAAATATTACTTCTTTCACTTGGCTATGTTTTCTCTTCTGTTTTTAATGTTTAAAAAAAGGAAAAAATTTTATTGGTATTTCAAATTGTCAATTTTATTTAATCTTTCAGTGAATCAAATCTTTGACTCATTGGGCCAGGGATTTGGCTCAGTCGTTCCACCACCTGCCTCCCAAGTGCAAGGGGCCAAGTTTGATCCCCAGTACCAAAAAAAAAAAAAAGAACCCCACAAAACAAAGAACTTAAACTCACTGATTCTTTGTATTGTTTTCTTAGTCTCCAGTGCATTAATTTCTGTTTTGATCTTTATAACTTCCTTCCTAGTATGAGTTTTGGTCTTGACTTACTCTCCTTTTTCTAGAAGCTTGAGGTTCAATGTTAGGTTGTTTATTTGAGCTCGCTGTTTTTCTGATATGGGAATTCACCATATCATATTCTGATATGGGAATTTCCTTCCTAGGACTGTTTTCATTGTGCCCCATAAGTTCTGCTATGTTGTATTGCCATTATCATTTAACTGTAAAAACTATCTAATTTCTTCTTTAACTTCATCTGTGACACATTGGTTGTTCTGGAGGGTGTTATTTGATTTCCATTTGTTTATGAAGTTCTTGTGGTTTCTTTTGCCATTGATTTCCAATTTCATCGCACTATGATCTGATAATATGCATGGGATAATTTATTCCTTTGCATTTACTTAAGCATGTTCTATGAGCTAGGATGTGCTCTATTTTGAAGAACGTCCCGTGTGCAGCTGAGAAGAACATGTACTCTGATGTTGTGGGGAGGAACACTGTAGACATCTAAGTCCATTTGTTCAAAAGTTTGGTTTGGTTCTGATATTTGTTTGTTGATTTTTTTGTCTAGCTGATCTGTCTATTTGTGACAGTGGGGCATTGAGGTCCCCCAGTACAATTGTATTCATGATTAGCTGATTTTTCATGTCCATTACTATTTGTTTTATATAGCTGGGTGTGCTGGTATTTGGTTCATATATATTTATGATTGTTATCTCTTCTTCTCGGATTGTTTCCTTTACAAGGATGTAGTGACCTTCTTTCTCTCTTAATCAGTCTTGGCTTAAAAATGTACTTTGTCTGCAAATAGAATAAGTTATCCTTGCTTTTTCTGGGTTCCTGTCACATGGATTACTATTTTCTATCCTTTGTCTTTCAGTCTATGAACTTTTTTTTTTTTTTTTTTTTTTTTGGTACTGGGGATTGAACTCAGGTCCTTGTGCTTGCAAGGCAGGCGCTGGAAGCACTGAGCTAAATCCCCAGCCCCTATGAACTTCTTTTTGAATTAAATGTGTTTCTCATGTGCAGCATTTTGTTGGATCTTGCTTCTTTTTTTTTGTACTGGGGATTGAACTCAGTACCTTGTGCTTGCGAGGCAGGTGGCAGCAGCACTGAGCTAAATCCCCAGCCCTGGATTTTGCTTCTTGATCCATTCTGTTGGTCTGTTTCTTTTGATTGGTGAATTGAGATGATTAAAATTGACAGTTATAACTGATGTATTGACTTATCCTTGTCATGTTATTTTCCTGCTATTGGTTGCCTTCCCCCCTCTTTTTAATTGCTTGCCTTGCCTGGTGGATTCATTCTATCAGAATTCATGGAGTTTTAGTCCTTGTTATCTCTTTCTAGAATGTCCTACAGAATATTTTGGAGTGCTAGTATGATGGTCATGAATTTTTTTCTTTGTTATGGAAGTATCTTATCAATTTTGAAAGATAAGAGCTGAAAAAAAAAGAAAGATAAGGGCTGGGGATTTAGCTCAGTGGTTCCACTGCCTGCCTCACAAGATCAAGGTCCCGAGTTTGATCCTTGGTACCAAAAAAAACAAAACAAAACAAAAAAAAAACACAAAAAAAAAGATTACTAAAATTTTGAAAGATAGTTTCCCAAGGTACATCAATCTGGGTTGGGGGTTGTTTTCTTTTAGGGTTTGAAATACTTCACTCCAAGCTTTCCTTGACTTGAGGGTTTGTGCTGGGATTCTGATGGACTTTCCTTTATAGGTGATTTATTTCTTTTCTATAACAGCTTGTAATAGTCTGTTCTTGTGTTGAATTTCTGGAATCTTACTGTTATATGCCTTGGTGAAGATTTTTGGATCATGGCTAATTGACGTTCTATATGCCTCACTTATCTGCATGTCAAATACTTTTTCCTTGCTTGGGAGGTTTTCTGCCATTACTTCTGTGAACATGTTTTTTTTATGTCATTTGTGCTAGCTACTGCTTTTTCATTGATTCTGATTAAATTTATGTTATTCTCCTGCATCATTTAGCAGCTGTTGTGTCAATTTTTCGTAGTTCCTTGCTTTTTTTTTTTTTTTTTTTTTTGGTACCAGTGATTGAACTCGGGACCTTGTGCTTGCAAAGCAGGTGGTGGAACCACTGAATGAAGTCCCTGTCCCTGTCCCTTAATCTTTTAAACTTATTTTTATTTTCATTTTGGTGCTGGGGATTGAACTCAGGACCTTGTGCTTGTGAGGCAGGTGGTAGAACCACTGAGCTAAATCCCTCGTGATCTTTTAAAAAATATTACTTCTCATGATCACTAATCACAATCCTGTCTTCTACATCTGATACTCTGTTCTCACATTGGCTCATTCTGCTGTATATACTTTCAATGAAAATTTTAATCTCCTGGATATCTGTTGAATTTGTTTCATGGATTCCATTTCTTTCTATGGTGAGTGTTCATAGTTTCCATCATTTTCCTAAGCTCCTTCATTTTTTTCTATCTATATCTGCTCTAGAGTCACTAATCATGTCTTTCATTATGGTCACCATCTCTGTAGTTATGTGATAAACTATTTCTGATTTGATTTATTCTAGCACCTCATTCATCTGCTTTATTACTTCCACTGCTACCACTTTAGAGAGTCCAGGTGGGTGGGTTTCAAACTGTTCCACCTCATTGCCCTTGGGTTTGCCTTTGGTGAGCTGGAAGTTTGGGATTGCATCTTCCTTAAGTGTCTACTATTTTCTTCTTTTTAAAATTTAATTCTTAGGTTGCTCTTTGCAAATTGCTATGGCAAGTAGCTTTATTGTGAGTATTTGGAACCCTTAGGAAATGACTACTTCTCAGAGATGTATTCCAGGTATAGCTGGCTTTTGGATTTTGAGTCTGTGGCAAGATCCTACCCCTTCAGTTTATTGGGATGAGAAGTTGCTGCCTATTTGGCCTAGCCCCTAGTTCTTTGGCATTGGCTTATAGTATTGTTTGTGACTCTAGGCAATCTCAGACTTGGCATATCAGGAAGAACAACAGATTAGAACAATTATGTCACTTTGCCTAAAGGAATACAATTAGCAATAACAATGATATCAGCAATAACAGCCTAGAAAATGACAAACAGTGGTAACTATTAATTTGCCACATTTAACTGTATGAACTAGATTTGTGCTTGTATAACAAAATGTAAAATGAACCGGAAAATTCTATATAGTAAATATGCCCTCAATATGGTGATTTTACCCTCAGGGAAGAAAATTTAAAAGTGGTTGGGGGGAAAATAGAGAAATAGGAAAGGGGGAAGAGATTAGAAGCAAAGCTGGAGAACAAAGGAAGATTATGAAAACTTTTGGAAGCTGATGAAGAAGACTGGAGGTGAAGAAAAAAGAAATAAAAATAAGAATAGAATAGAATGAAAATAACAAAAAAACTTGAAACAATGTTCACACTAATATAAAAATAAGACAAAACATCAATAGAGGAAGCAAAACAAACCAAATCAAACAGGCTGGGCATGAATTCACTTTTTGGTTTTGGCCAGCCTTGAACTCATGGTGATCTTTTTGCCACAGTTTCCCAAGTGCTAGTGATAGGGAAAACTTTTATAAATAGCAAAAAATAGCAAAAACCTATAAAGTGTGGTAGAATGGCTTCTGCCATCTTTAACAGCAGTTTGTTTTGTTTAGTTCAGAATTAACAGATGCTGACAGCATTAATTAAGGAATGAGACATTTGGTCTTACCCTGACATAACAGGGCACATCACGACCTTGAGCTCCAAAGAGACTGGAGCCCCATGATCATGAAAGGGTCAAGATGAAAAGGACCATTGCCGACATTTGCTCCCCTGAACCTAAACACCCCCCACTTCCTATGGGCTAGGATAGATAACTAGGCAAATTGTAAAGGTAAATTACCCTAATTTACTGTCTTGTGAGCATGATTTGTATATCAGCAATATCAACTATGAGAATGAAATGTAACCAGCCAAATGAAGTCAAGGCTGTAAAACCCTATAAAAGGAGGAGTTGTAACCCAGTGTGTCAATCCAGGCACTGATTTTATGTGTGATCGATCCTTTGTCAACAAACAAAACTTTTGTTATTTTACTTCCATTTGCACCTCTCTGTGAATGTCACTTGCCAATTCCTTCCATAACACTGGGATTGTAGGCATAAGCCACCATTCCACTTTCCTTTACAATTTTTAAAAGAAAATTAAGTATTGATACTGTGTTTCAAAAAGCAGATTGTTTATTTACTTATTTATTTGGTACCAGGGATAGGACTTGTGACCTTGCACTTATGAAGCAGGCAGCAGCACCATTGCACTAAATCCCCAGCCTGATTTTTTGTGATTTAAAAATTAAAAGGCTGGGGGGCTGGGGATTTAGCTCAGTGGTGCTGCTGCCTGCCTCGCAAGCACAAGGTCCTGAGTTCGATCCCCAGTACCAAAAATCCCCACCAAAGCCAAGAACTGCTTGCATTGACACTCTAATCATTGCTCAAAAACTTAAATTACTGACTCAACATTAGATATAAGAAAAGAAAAAATGCATTGTTTGAACAATATTTTCTGACTCTGGGTTGAAAAAGGGGATCAAAGCAGTCCCTAGGCTCTGATCATGATGCAAGCCTCTGACCAGAGTACCACGGGACCTCCACTTGAACTGTAGTTATTTTTTAAATTATGAAAGAAAAATATGAAATTTAATTATCTGGGGAAGTTACATAGGTGTTTGCAACATTATTCTTCCTGTATTTTGCAGTGTTTTTGAAAACTGAAACTAGGGTTTGGGGTATGGCTCAGTGGTAGAGCATTTCCCTATTATGTAGAGTTTGATCCAGAGCAAGGAATGCATGTACACAGACAAACACACACACACAACCTCTAGAGTCATTTTTTAAAAAGAGTGTATATTAGTGGAGCATTAATATTAAAAGATATTTTATCCCCAATACCAAAAAAAAAATGGGGGAGAAAAACCTTTATGCATGTCCATTCTGGGACTAAGTCTTCTTCATGGCATTACAAGAAACATGAAGAGAGAAATTCAGGTGTTTGGATGTTGCCTTTTTTCTGTTCAGCAGGGATCTTTCAGACCCCAACCACAGCTCGCTGGGCCAAGGCCAGGGGTATGGCACTGTCCACAGTGACCAGGGCTCTCCCTGCCCTCTGACTCACCTCTGTCCTCCAGCCCAGAACCCAACACAGGGCAGGCTGCTAGCATGTGCTTAATGCACAGCTCTGAGCTGCTCATTTCTGTTTAAATATGAACTACTTCAGGGCAAGAACCACGTATTCCTCCGTCTCTGAGCTATCTTCCAGAAAAGGAATGAACATTTATGGAATGAAGAAACCACCACAGCTCCACTTCTCCTGCTCCAGAGAAGCCAGCAGGGGCAGCTTTTGTGCACATTTTTGTGCCTACACTGGTTTGTGAGTGGCTGCCTATGATGGTGACCAACTCCACCCAGTTTTCCTGAGGTTTCCTCAGTTTTTACACCAAAGCTCCTGCGTCCTGGGATCTCCTCAGTCCCAGGCAACCAGGAGGTTGGTCAGCATGGGAACTCTTCTTTTCTCTATGCCTCATCGCCCCCTCCTCTTCATCTGGGATAGCTGGGTGGAGTCTCATCTCTGCACTTCAGATCCAAGATCTTACAGAAATCACGAGCTGGCAAAGTTACCACTCCCTGGGGCTTGGAGAGGTTAAGACGGTAGTACAGGCCCAACTTGCTCCCCGATCTCCGCCACTTTTCCAGAGAGGTGGCCACAGATGCCAGGTCTGGAGTGGAGGGGGCAGTGACAGCTAAGTTGCCCATCCTGTCAGAGCTGCTGGAGCTGGGAGGACACTGAGGACACTGAGGCAGGTTACCCAGGTCCATCCTTGGGGGAAGGAGGACGCCAAGGGGTACAAAGGGAAGGGTGTGTGAGGGACAGAAGTGACAGCCTTCAGACCGTACCCTGCTCTGGCACACACAGGACAAAGGGCTAGAGATCAGCGGGAAAGGGGTTCGGCAATGAAGAGAGGCTCGGGCTTTCTGAGTGACCTTTATTCTTCACGCAGGATGTGGGATTGGCACTGCCAGCTCGCCATGGCTCTAGTGGCTTGCTATGGTCTGAAAAAAAGCAGGGTTGAGGGGACAGAATAGTCCGGTTAGGAACACAGCTTCTGGAGCGAGGGGGCACTGGGCTCAGCTCTCAGCTCTGACACTCGTTAGCTGTGTGAGCCTAGGAGGGTGACTTGACCTCTCTGAGCCTTCGTTTCCCTACCTCTATAGTAGGGAAAAGAACAGTATTTTCCTTTTGAGGTTCCTCATGAAACTATTAACTAAGGTTCTCACCACAGAGCCTAGGGCCAGTTTTGTTTTGTTTTTATGATATCCAGGGCAGGCCCACTCCTAAGCTATGTCCCCAGCCAGGCATTTTTAACCTGTGTATTTTTGTTTTCCTGCCCTGGAAACTGAACATCTAGTGCCATTGTAAGTAGCTGTTATCTCCAGCCCCCAATTTTTTTTTTAAAGTTTGACACAGGGGTCCCATTAGGTTGCAAAATTGCCCAGGGTGGCCTCAAACTATGGTCCTCCTGGGAGCCTGGGATTTCGCTCAGTGGCACTGCACCTGACTCGAAAGCACAAGGTCCAGTGTTTGATCCCCGGTACCAAAAGCAACAAAACAAAACAAAAACTGTGGTCCTTCTTCCTCATCTGCCCATATGCTAGAGTCATAGCCATGCACCTCCATGACTAGTGTGGCGCAGGTTGGAGTGGTCTGTAATTACAGCCATTGCTCTTATCATGAACAATACTAGTTGTCCTGGCTGCCTGTCACCAGGTGGGAAGATGAGGGCTGTGCTCACACGGGCCTGACCGTTCCCTCTCACGGATGTCACCCTCTTTCGTGGTTATCGCCCCGTCACCAGTGGGCAGCCCCAGGTCTGCATGATACGGCAGTGCTGGACCAAGGACACACTTCGCAAACCACTAAGAAACTGTGCAAGTGCAGCCACCAAGGCTCACGGCTCTGCCGAGGGGCCATGCAGGTCCTTGTGGCCAGCAGAAAACACCTGCCTTCTGCAGTGTGCTCTGGGGCACCTGGCACAGTGTGCCCTTGTGGGGCCCGACCCTCCCTGGGTCCCCCGACCGCACCTCCTTAATCCAGTCAATGAAGGCCGAGACGCGAGTGAACACCGTGGGCTTCTTCAGGGTGTTGCAGCCCAGGCCAGAAACGAAGCTAGTCACACCGTGGACCTCCCAGGTGCCCTCCGCGGTGGGGCAGTTGAGGGGTCCTCCAGAGTCACCCTGAAAGTGTCAGAGAGGCGTGAGGGGGCTGAGTTCTGTGTGGGGGCTTGGGGAATTGGGTCTGAATTTTAGAAATTTTTTTATTGGGGTTTGAACTCAGGACCTTGGGCTTGGGAGCCAGGCAGTGGCACCACTGAGCTAATTCCCTGGCAATTTTAGGAATTTTAAGAAATCCCCATATTGCCCTCTCAGGGCATCAGTGTGATTATTTGTGATGGAGAAAGAAAATAATCCTTTTACATGACTTCCTCTGGATAAAGGAGATGACAGCAGATTTTATTACCTCATAGGGAGAATACACTCAAGAAGCTGTAGTCTGATATTGGCACCACAGTTAATTATCAATATCATTATTCATATTCATAGCACAAAGAGAGTATTCTGTATCTCTTTTCTTTTTCTTTTTCTTTTTTCTGCAGTGCTGGGGATTAAATCCCAGTGCTAGATAAATGCTCTGCTACTGAGCTACATCCTTAGCCCTCTGAAAGTTTAATTATAGCTCCAAGCCACGGAGTTGGTGTGACTGGAGGTTACGGTGGCCGGGAGCCTATCTTGCGGATGGAGACACCTGAGGCCCAGGGAGGGACCGTGACTAGGCCCAGTCTGGTCAGCGTGTGAGCGGGAGCTGGAGTCTGGGTCGTGCCTGCCAGGCCTGGGTGCCGTGCTCACCTCCCTGAGGTCCTACCTGGCCTGGGCTGAAAGAGGGAAGAGGGCCCGGCACGGGTGGACTCACATTGCATCCAGACTGGATGTCCCCGCCAGCACACACCATCGTTGTCTTAACAGTGGAGCTCCACCAGTCCCACCGGGAACAGTGCTTGTGGTCCACCACGGGCAGCAGGGCCTGCTGCAGCTTGTCAGGGAGAGGCCCGTCGGCTAAAGGGACAGAGAACACTGAGCATGGAAATCTGGCACACAGCCGAGGGGCCCAGAGTGGGGATTCAGATCACACAGTTCTGCTGGCCAGGAGCAACCATCCGGTCCTGCGTGCTTTGTGCACCAAGGGCCAGACCTGGTGTGGCCTTCAACCTCCACCCCAGGTGTGGCTTCTCAGCACTGGCCCTGTGGCCTCTAGTGGGGTTTGCACCTACTGTAGAGACGGCCCCAGCCGCTGATGTAGCAGGGGGCCTCGTGGGGCAAGATGTAACCCGCAGGAGGGAGGCAGGCGAGCTGGACGGCGTCCCCCAGCTGGGCACTGCGTGAGAGCTTGACCAGGGCGATGTCGTTGCTGGAGAGGGGAAGAGTCACGTGGGGCCTGGGCCTGCACCTGACCAGCTCCCAGTCCTGGGCTCTGATCTATACCCCAACTCTGGGCACTTCTGGCTTTCACTTCCAGGATTGGGGATTGGATTTGGGGTCTTCACACTGAGCTACAATCCCAGCAGCCCCCCACTCCGGTATTTTTCACTTTTTATTTTGAGACAGGATCTCACTAAATCACTAAGTTGCCCAGGCAAGGCTCAAACTTCCGTCCTCCTGCCTCAGCCCCCCGAGTGCTGAAATCACTGGCTGGGCCGAGCGTCTGTGAGAAGCCCCCAGCACTCCTGCCCATCTGACTCTTGGCTTTCACGGTGGCTCTCTGGGAGCCCCCAGGTTCCCACCTTCAGCTGAGTGAGAGTCACACGAGAGCTCGGCACACAGCAATTGCTGGGCCCTAGCCCAGCCTTTCCAAGGCTGTGGGTCCAGATTGAAAACTGAGAATCCGTATTTCTAACAGGTTCCCAGAGTGGCCCCGATGCTGCCGCCCCAGGAGCCCACTGTGAGAACCACAGCTCTCTGTCTTCACCGGCCTGCTTATCACTCAGGTCCCTTCACTGGGGTCTGAGTGTCGCTGTGTTCATCCCGGGTCTGGGTCATCACAGCCCCTCACCGCTGCACTGAACGTTAGGTCTACACCCTGTTCTACTTTGTCACTAGAGAACCTGTGCCACACAGACACACAATGCTGCCTGCACACGAGGGCTTAAGATGGGCCCCTTGACTGTCACAGCTGCCCTGGAAGCTCTGATTCATGGTCACCTTGTGACAAATGACAAAACTGCTACCTGGAAAAGGTGACTGGAGAGTGGGCTCTGAGTCCAGTGCTCCTTCTCTTGCCTGTGATACTAGGACCAGAGGGCACCGGCTGCAGAGGGCAGGGGCCATAGGAGTCCTGGGATCTGGGGAATTCCTGCTTCTCCCTGGGCCTACTGACCCCTCTGTAAGGAGAGGGTCTGGTGCCCATGGTCCCTAAATCCTCTGTGGTTTCGGCTTTGGTGGTGTGTGCTGTGGTACGTGGGCCAGTGTCTCTGCCTATGGAGGGACACGGGGAGGAGCCCAGGGCCTGCAAGTCCACTCACCCACAAGCCACGCAGTTTTCATTCCAGTCCTGGTGCACGAAGAGTTCGCCAGCGTTGACAGGGATCACCTGCTCGGGGCCCTCCTCCACTGCCTGGTTGTACTCGCCCAGCACCACCTGGTAGGTCCGGGAGTCCCTGCGGGTGGAGGCCAGCTTGGTCCAGGCCTGTAAGGATCCTCCCTCCTCTGATCTGTTCACCCACTGGTCCAGCTGCCCACGTCTCATTAGGGACAGCAGCTGGGAGAGCACAGGGACAGGGGACAGAACTCACGAGATACAGTGGCCTGCAGTCAGGACCCAGTCGGGGGCAATGAGGGTGCCACCACAGGTGTGGTAGAAGGCTCCATTCTTCTCATACTGCAGGGAGACCTGGTGGCCAAGTAGGAAAGGGCCTGAGTATCCCCACAGTAAGGGTGGACAGCCATGTCTTTGTATATTGCAAATGCAGAACTCTAGAGGGCACTGTTGACACAGAAAAGGTTGGAACCTTCTGGACTGTGCAGTGCACAACCTGTGTAACTGTGCATGGTGGTCCTCTTTTCCACTGGGCCAATGTTCTGATTTACCCATGCCTCCCTACCCTAGGTACTATGACCTCTCTGGGAACTCCAGCATTTTTACCCCTAGTTTTCCACAGCCCTTGTCTTCTCTCAGGCTCCCCCATTCTTCTGGGCTTCAGGTCTTTCAAGGCCTCTTGGTTCTGCTGAAGCACAACTCATCCTAAGTCCTTGGTCTCTCTCCTTTTTCCCAACACATTTCGTTTCCAAAAGCTGCTTTAAGGCTTGGCAAACTATCCCCTGTGGGCCGAATCTCCCCGTGGTTGGTATTTTTTTGTTTTGTTTTGTTTTCCTTTCTTTTATTCTGGGGAGACTGAACCCAGAGCCTTTGTGTTGAGCTACACTCTCAGCCTCTTATGTACATTTTGACACAGGATTTTGCTAAGTTGCTAAGTTTGTATGTGAAGACTTTTTTGGAGCGGATTCATGCTTATTCCTTTACCAATTGCCCGTGGCTGCTTTCAGGACACAGTGGCAGCATAAGTCACTGTTCTAGATGCCGGGGCTGTGGGTTTATCTCAGTGGTGCCACTGCCTGCCTTGCAAGGGCCAGGTCCCAAATTCAATCACTGGTACCAAAAAGAAAAAAAAAGAAAAAAAAAACAGAGAGAGAGAGAGAGAGAGAGAGAGAGAGAGAGAAGAAAAAAACCTAAGGTGTTTACCCTAAGGTCTTGCAGAGAGGCCTGAGCTCCCACCCAGGAGAACCTCTGTCGTGAAGGAATGTGCTAGGTCTCTGTGACCTGTCCTGGCTACCACCCTCATGAGGCTACTGAGGATCTGAAATGTGGCTGGAACGGAAGAACTGAATTTTATCATCACTTCGCTGAAATTAAATTTAAACAGCCAGGTGTGGGTAGGGGATGCTGCGTTTGATGGCACAGTGAGGTGGGCTCTCTGGGCTTCCCTCACTGTGACCTATAAAGCCCTTGACCCAGTGGGTATATGGCTGGATCTCAGGTACTCAGGAGGCTGAGACTAGAGGATTGAAAGTTTCAGGCCAGGCTTGGTAATTTTGCAAACGATGTATTTTTTAAATTTATTCTGGGTCCAGTGGTCTGTAATCCCACTGAGCCACGATGATCGACACCCTTATTTCAAGGCCAGACAGGACTATACAGTGATCTCAAGGCCACTGAAGATTGAACCTGTTCAATAAACCTGAAGTACCTCAAAAGGCCAAAAATTAAAATATTAATGAAATAATTAAAATGTTTTATATGGAAGGGTTAGAGTAAGGGCTGGGGCTGGAGAACTTGCCGAGCATGACCATGGTCGTCCGTCCTACGTTTAATCCCCAGCATCAAGGAAACAAAACAATATAAAGAAACAGACCTTAATCTTTTTATATTCTCAGGCCTTTTAGCTCTGTTGTATAATTTGAGGAATCCAGAAACAAGGCTCCTAAAATCTTCCTCCTTAAAGTTTCCCCATTACTGTGCCATGGCTCTAAGCCCCACCCTCTCCCCAAATTCACTTTTCCATTTACAACAGCTCAGCTCAGGCCATAGGCTGAATGAGCAGAGCCTCCAGGGGAAGTGCACTGTCCAGGGATTTCCAGGCCTGCGGAAGCGGAAGTGGGATATGGAAAGGAAGCTCACCCTTTCTGGGCCATCAGACCTTGGAGCCAGGGCCCCTGGAGGGCATGAGAGTAGCTGGTATCGCTCTTACCTGCCAGGGCCAGCTGTAGGGAACTGCATCCTCACCATTAACCACACGGCCCAAGGGGCTGTAGAAGGGCTTCCCGCAGCCCGAGGCTGGAGGAAAGAGGGGGAACAGCTGCCCAGAGGTCCCCAGAAGGTCAGTGTCCCAGTCCTAGCTGTGCCTCAAGCTGGCTGTGTGACCCTGTACAAGCTCCTTCCCTCTCTGAGCTGCAGCGCCACGTCTGAATGGGCATTCGGACCAGGACGGGTGTTGCAGAGTCCCAGGAGCCCAGGGCCTCCTGCAAAGGGAAGACTGAACAGTGCCTGTGGTGAGCTGAGCCCTCAGAAGTCGAAGCCACTGTCACAGAGAGTGGCAGCTTTGATAGAAGCCTGCCTGGCTCAGGGGCAGCCCACCACTTGATTGAGGAGTAACAACTTGAGGATCAGTTTCCTCATCTGTGAAATAATTGTATTGACCTCATGGGGCTGTGATGAGAATTAAATGAGCTAAATGAAGAAAAACCTGGCGTCATTCTGCCTGGCATATAGTAAATGCTCGATAAACTTCACTGTTACAATTAGCGTTCATCAAGGGAGGCCAATTGGATGAGGTGGCCTTGAGCTGGACTGCAATAGGGTAGAGACTTGGGGGAGGAGAGGCCCTGGTCCTGGAGCTGGAAGAGGGAGTGTGAGAGGAGAGTTGGAGTGGACACTCCCAGCCAAGGGTCTAACTGTAGAGCTCGAAGACCTGACCTTGAGCCTGGGCTCACTGCCCCGTGAGTCCCCTCTGCAGCCCAGGGTGCTCCCAGTCTGTCTCCCATCCTGCTCCACCCCCAGCTGCCGCAGCCCCAGTCCCTGCTGCAAGGCCACAATCACGCCCAGGTACAACCTGAGACTCCCGCCTGTGGAACCCCGCCTTGGGTGGGGGCCCAGGGCAGAAGCCCTACGTCAAGGCCTCCTCAGCCCATGCAGCCCAGCGAACCCAGGCCCAGGCTGGGGTCTTACCAAGGGCCACAAGGAGAAGGGAACTCAGCAGCTGGAGCATCGTGAGCTTTCAGCTGATGGGAAAGAGACAAAACCCAGGTCTCTAATAAAGGGCAGAGGCCGGAGGGAGGGGCCGGGCTGGGCCCTGTTCCCACAACAGGTGACAGAACATCAGGTCCCCCAGGACCCAAGGCCATGGGGCCTCCCACTGCAGATAGAGGAGGAAACACCGATAGAAGGCCCAGGTGACTGCACAGGTGGCTTCGAGTAGCCAGGCTGATAGCAAGGAAGTGGGGGAAAGGTTTGCTGTGAACAAACCAGGCCATTTCGGGAAAGAACCTGGGCCTGGGCTGCCAGGCCTGGATTCAGATCCTGCCTCTGCCCGGTCCCAGCTCTGTGACCTTGTGCGGGGTCCTTTCACCCTCTGAGCTTTAGGTTGCTGGTGTCTCATGTGGGATTAATATTGTCTCCCTCAATTAAAATAATTCTGTGGAGGACTTTCCCTACCTCTCCCAGGCAGTGTTCCGGGGCTGCAGCCAGAAACAGCCCTCTCCTGGTGCTCCTGGGGCTTGGGTCAAAGGGGAGAGACAGAGACGAATCAGCAAAGACCCAGGAAGGCTGTGTCCACTTGTGAGAGTGGCGGATGCTGTGGAGAAGGAAACACGGGCGGTGGGGGTGGGGGTGGGAGCAAGAGCAATGCGTTGAGCTGGGGAATCCGGTGGGAGGAAGGCAGCCTCTGACTGACTGAGGACGGAGAAGTGAAAACCAGCCCAGGGAGGTCCTGGCAGCAAAGCACTCGGGGTGGAGGGGTCGGCAGGTGCCCAGGTGCCAGGTCTGGAGCTGGCCTGGGCCAGCTCCTTCAAGCATAGGGAGGCCGGTGGGGCTGGGGCCGAGGGCTCCGCGGAGGCCCTGGGAGGACCCAGCTCCTGAAGCAGGAGACGTGGGGGACCCCACAGGTCCGCTGCGAGTGCAGCCCGCAGCAAAGCTGGCCCACACAGCCCAGGGGCTGGGGAGGAGCAGTCAGGGCACCGGCCTCGGTCCTCAGAGACCAGACATCTCCCGCATGCTCAGGTGAGGGGTGAATCGGTGTCCGCACTCACAGGATGGAATATTCATCAGCAGTGGAAAGCAAGAAGCACAGCCGCCGCCACTGTGCTTACCGCACAGAACGTTTCTGTGGCCTTCAAATCTTCCTCCAGACAACCTGCTGCCTGCTTTCCCTCACCATGGTTTTGCCTTTCCTAACCCTCCCATTCAAATGGACTCACATGGCACGGAAGTTGCGTTCCCTTCGTTTCTGAGTGTCTTTCAGGTGTATCTGGGTCACATGTGCTGTGGAAGGTGCGAACTATATTATTTCAAATATCTGTACCTCTCCCTAAATAAGTGACCTACGACCAGACTCTGATGCTTTTTCCTGTATCAGTGAAGAGAGGACTGAGGATTATGATCTACTGTGTTCTGGTCCCACTATGTGAAATTCAGAGAGAGAAAGAGACAGAGGGCACAAACTCTGGGGGACACTTTGCAGATCAGAGGGATGACGAGTCGGGTCTTTATTCTCAGCATGAGGAGGGAGCCACAGGTTTGTGGGGAGGGGACAAAGAAGAGAAGAACCTGTAAAATTTGGAAAAATGTCTTTCTTGGGTTAGAAGTGGCAACATAACGCCTGTAACCTGGCCAGCAGTAGGCTGAAGCAGGAAGATCACATTCTCACATAGGAAGAGACTCTCTCAAAAAGCAAAACCGTTTCCTCCTGGGACTGGCGGTGTAGCTCCAGGGTAGGGCTTGTATTCAGCATGTCTGAGGTCCCGAGTGTCATCCCGAACCTCAACAAAAGAAACAGCACCAACTGTCTTCCTGGGTGACGGGCAGAGCAGTATTAGGGCCAAGGGGAGAAGCGAAGAGGAGCAGTGGCACAACTTCTGTCACGTGGGCAAAGCAGGAGGGTGTGGAGGGCTCAGCTTCAGGCAGCGGAGACGGCAGCTGAGAGACAAACGTGGCATCGCTGTGGGTAAGAACTGCGTCTGAGATCATCTCTGTCAGTGGTAACTTCAGCGCCTGGCACCGAGTCACACCGGTTGTGGGCAGTGCTTGGCCCTTCCTTGCTGGCCACTGGCAGCAGCCTCCCAGGCCAGGCCTGGCATTTCATAGGTGCTGCATAAACGCCGGGTGGATAGAGCGAGCCAGCTGCTCAGGCTGCCCTGAGAATCCCTCGGCACCCTCACGCGGGTCCCCGGCGTGGCTTCCTCCAGGTTCCCGCTGTTGGGAGCCTCGAGGGAGGGCGATGCTTTGTGGACACCTCCCGGTGGAAGGTGGACATATGGCTGGGCAGGCCCCTCCGCCAGCCCACAGGGACATCTGCCACTGCAATCTCCCGGGCCCAGGGAATGTCAGGACACAGGGGAAGCAGCTGTGAAAATCCCTGACGTGGGATAAAAATAGCCATGCCCTCCCTCACCCTGTTCCTGTGCCTGCACGGGGCTATTTGCTCAGCTTTGGCCCTCGGAGCCATTCCCCGGACCCAGAGTGGAGGAAGGAGAGAGACACCCAAGGGCTGGCTCAGGACAGAGGAGCAGGCCACCCCCCAGCTCCCGCTGCAGAAGGCCCGGAGTGGACAAGGCCTGCAAAGCCCATCTGTGCACCTCCTGCCACCTGGCAGACGGGGAGGTCACCTCAGAGAAGAGCAAGACTTGTTCCAGTCCCCTGGCTTGTCACTGCTTGACCTGGCAAAGGCTATCCCAAGGGAGCAGGCAGGGTTCCAACCCTGCCCCAGCATCAAACAGGAAGCATCCCCAGTGCTTACCCAGGTGGCCTTGAGCACATCCGGCCAGGGCGCCGGCTCCACACACAGATACACAGCCACTTGGCCCTCTGCCGGGTCTCAGGGCAATGACCCCTCTCAAGCCTATGGTGGCATCAGGCTCTCGCCAGGCGAGTCCTGGCTTTGGGGCTTCTAGGCCGACATGGTCAGCTCTGCTGCTGATTAAACCTGGGCTGGGGGACCTGTGCAGCTTGAGCCAAATCCCTAAAGGCCCAGCTCTGCCCAGAACCAGAAGAGGGAGCAGGCCAGGGAGGAAGAGGGTGCCAACCACCGCAGGCCTCAGCCTGCAGCCCAGGAGTCATGGGGAAGCAGAAGGCAGGTTGGGGTGGATGCAGAGTGAAGAATCTGGGGAGCAGTTGTCTTGGGGTTCATTGTTTCCTGTTCCTACCCAGGGGAAGCTCTGTGAAGGCCAAAACTTGGCCTTTTTTTTCTCACATTTCCAGGGCCTCCCCTGGTGTAGGCCTGTAATCTTAGCACTCGGGAAGTTGAGGCAGGTGGATCATTGCAAGTTGAAAGCCAGCCTGGGATACAGAGTGGGAATCTGAGACCACAAAGGCATCCTCCCAGTTCTGCACCCTCCATCAGAGGTTCTGCTTTGCAGACACAGCTGGGCTCGGGGGTGCCCTCAGCCAACTCCATGAGCGGTTTGGACAATGACTGAGACTGGACCCAGACAGAAGAGCAGATCTTGGAAAGGCTGGCCAAGAAGCAATTGTGGGTCATCTCGCAGAGCAGCCCACAGCTCACATGCCATGGTGTCAGACCAGAGTCAGAACCATCTGTGAGCTCTTGATGCTTGTGGCTCTGCACACATGTGACAAGTAAACTAAAGGTTCACACTGATGAAGATCCAATTACAGCCATGGGAAACCTGAACCTCCATCTTTTTTTGAGCTTTTCTTTGGTTGAAATAAAAATTCAGTAAAGCCTATGGCTGGACCTCCTTTTGGCTGTAGCAGCTTTATTTTCTGGGACTGTGAATTCCAGTAGTTTGTCATCTTTTTTTTTAGAGTATCTTTTTCAACAAAATTTTTTTCCTCATTGAGTTTATTGGTACATTTTAGGTATACAGTACAATTACATTCAGCATTGGGATCTTATACGTTTACCTGACAGGTCTTCATTCTTTTTTTTTTTTTTTTTTTGGTCATCTTGTTAAGAGGTCAACTGGCCTGCAGCTTGGTGCTCTCAGAAGAGCTTTTCTTCTGCTGGAGGCCTCCTTTTTCTGCACATTGTAGGATGCTTTGATACACTGTCTTTGTGTATCCAAACAGGTAATCAGCTTTGACTTTTCAGGATTTGTGATTCTTGCTTTGGTGGCATGAATGGAAGGTTCTATAACTCCACCAGTAAAGCATCTGGAATGCCCCTGAAATGGTTTTAGCTCTTAAGATGTGAGCTTTTGAAGATGAGATAAATCTCAGTAGATGTGAGCTGGAGATTGTGGCTGTGATGTTCACTGTGCTGTTGATACTATCTGTGGCCTTTGTTTTCCAAAGCAGGGTTGAAACTCGACAAAAGTGAGAAAGGGCTAAGACAGGGTCACAAGAGGTAAGTAACATGCGGTCGGAGCTGTCCCATTTGCTTTCTCCACGTTGACTGCCTTTGTTCTGTTGCTGTCCTCTGTGTTCATCCCCTTAAAGTGCAGATCAGTTTTTTCCATCCTCCCTGCAGCCATGGCTTGGCCTTGCCTTCCTCCATGTGGAACCTGTACTTTGGTTCACAGCCCAGGCTCCAGAGCACGGCTGTGGTTGTGATGAGCAGAGCAAACAGCAGCTGATTCACTATCACAGCTCGGTCCTGAGGAACCTGGCCTGGCTTCTGGGCTCATCCATCTGCTCCTGTGAGCAGCTCGGAGACAACTTGGAAACTGCCCTTGGTGTGGGGCAGTCAGCTCCATGCTGGCACTCAGGTCTCTCCTGTTCACATTCGTTCAGTGCTTCCTGTGCCTCCGTGATGGTTGGAGATGCTAGAATGTAGTTTCAACATGTCAGCTCTTTGGTGTGAAGGCTAGAGCTCTGCTTCCAAATCAGCAGGCTTTGGAGTGCTCTCGTGGTGATGGCTTCCTGGGTGCCAGGTGTGCGTTAAGTGTGTTCACGATTCATTTAATCCTAACAATCATGTGAGGTCAATATGAAATGTACCTCTTTTACAGATGGGAAAACTGAGGGCTAAATTATGCAACATGGCCAATAAGTGATGCAGCTAGAATCTGGGGCTTAGATTTGTCCTCCTAGTT